ATATTTTCGATACCCCATATATCTCTATACCCCCGATATTTCCTATAGCTTCTGTATTCTCTATAGCTTCTATACGTCTATACTCCATACATTCCCTATATTCCCCATCCGCCCTATACTCCTTATACTACCTACGTTTTAGTAGAGTCTACATAATCCTGGAACCCTCTAAAACTAACAATAATCCATACGACCTGTGAACCGGCGGAGATTAAGGTTTGACCCTTGACCAGAGAGCATTCCATAAAATTGTGGAAAGCTCCAGAAGTCTCTAGATTCGTGGTTACGTCCACATCGTTCGAGAAAGATGTAGAAAATTCCAGAAGTGTTTGACCTTTAACCTTGAACGTTTGATCTTTGATCCGGTAACAGACGGACAGGCAACCGTGCTTCATTATATAGATTCTATATCCTTATTCTATACCTTTATTTTATATCCTTACACTATATCCTTATTCTATGCCCTTAGGACTAAAGAAAAACCCAATATATTTATATTTCGTTTCTTGACCGACACTCAAGACGTGACATACACTTTTGTAGTTATTTACTATATTTATTTTAAATAACCTAGGTATTCTTAGTACGTTGGTGATTTATTTCAATCTTATCATGAAATAAATAGCAGCTAAATGACATAAATAAAGTGAAAATGCTGAAAAAGAAAAGAAAGTTCATTTCATCTTGATATTATAAGTAGATAAAAACATTTTCGATGGTTGACAAAAATCGTTCACTTTGTACAGTAACATATCACGAAGTAAAAGAAATGAAAACTACGTGATAAAATAGTCCTGTCGAATGTACTCTAAACTATATTTAAAAAACATGTTTTATATCGAGCTTTTGAAAAGAAGTTTTCACAATAATTATATGGTGAACAATCTTTTCTTTGTCAAATCCTTCTATAATTCCCTATTTTGACTGAGAAACCCCGAAGAGTTCTGCAGAATTAACAGAACCTTTTCTGTTTCAATATCTTTGGGTAAAACACTTTTGATAGCTCAGCATTTTTTGACAGAACCTTACGAGGTTCAGTATTATTGGGCGGAACCTGTTCGGTGCAGCGTTCTTGGACGGAGAGCTTTTTATGGTTCAGCATTTTTCTGACGGAACCTTACAAGGTTCAGGAATATTTGGCAGAACCTTTTCGGTTCTGCACTTTTGGACAGAGAACATTGTATGGTTCAGCACTTTTTTGGCAGAACCTCACAAGATTCAGCATTTTTTTGGCAGAACCTTACAAGGTTCAGCATTATTGGGCAGAACCTTTCGGGTTCCGGAATTTTAGACAAAGAACTTCTTTGGTTCAGCCTTTTTTTGGCAGAACCTTTCAAGGGTTCAGTAGTATTGGGCAGAACCTCATCGGTTCAGCATTTCTAGAAAGGGAACATTTGATAGTTCAGCATCATTGGACGGAACCATTTTGGTTCAGCATTTCTGGGCAAAGAACTTTTTATGGTTCAGCATTTTTTGACAGAACCTTACAAGGTTCAACATTGTTGGGCGGAACCTTTCAGGGTTTTGTACTATCATACAGAACTGTAAATTGGTTCTGCAGCATGTGCAGAACCAAAAATAGTTCTGGAAAGCTCCTTTTTTTTTAGCGAGCACTATAAGAAAGATCGAGAGCACTTCGTAATAGCATTAGAAACCAGCTTTCGACCAGAAAATTCATTAAAATACGACCAGATTCGTTTCATCCAAGTCATAATGGGTTTGGCTTGACTAAAAATTCGTATTGTAATGACTCACCTATTGAATAAACCTTTTCGTAACTAATTTTTATGAAATATGGATTATTTAATGGGTTAGCCCAAGGATGACGCTTGGAATAGCCCACAACATCTACCTAAAACTTTTTATTGGTAGACCAGAGGTGGAATTATATAAATGGTCTGCTCAAGCTGCTGGTTTGGGTTAGAGTTGATCTATGGAAATTTTAACTCAATGGGTACTCGTACCAACCCGCCACAGTCGGCATCTCTGACCCACATAGATCGGCTCAGTTTGGTGTTAATTTCGAATATGACATTTGTCTGAAATCAAATGTGATTTTTCCATTCGAAAACCATAGAATATTAGTCTAAAAAGACGCAAACAGGGTCTCAAGGATAGGATTTTGAGCAAAAGTACTTTACTAGATATGAAGTTTCAAGTCGAAAATAGTGTCACCTGAAAGAGCACATTTAGCTGTATACTTGGTAAAGAAATATAACCACTGTATCTATAGAAACTCTAATTTCGTCAGGCTGAAAAAATATTATGAGAGATAATATGACCCAAACGGGACGGTATATACCAGTTATCGATAGAAAAAAATCAAATATTCAACCGGTTCTGATATTCTCTGATAGAGAAAAAGATTGTGCATAAAAAGAACCTATTTTCGACGAAATAGAACCGTATTTTAATGGAATTTCTCGGCAAAAGTTAGGTTTTAAGATTTTCAGGGAGTGTTTTCGACCTTTCTTATTATCTGAGTACTTTTGAAAACAAATGAGATATTTGTAATCAGCGAACTAAGTACTATTGAACTATAAAGACTTGTAATAGAACAGAAACAAAAATTTTTTTCGATACCTGAAGGGGACTCCAGGTGTGAAAAATTGGGTTGTGATAAAACAGAAAATAAAATTATGAAAAATAGCCAGCGTTCAATTCTGAGGATGTGGGTGTGGGTGTCGATTATAATTGAGAGAACAACGAAACCCACACCCACAGCTACCCATACCAACACCACACCAACAGCTACCCATACCAACGCCACACCAACAGCTACCCATACCAACACCACACCAACAGCTACGCATACCAACACCACACCAACAGCTACCCATACCAACACCACACCAACAGCTACTCATACCAACACCACACCAACAGCTACCCATACCAACACCACACCCACAGCTACCCATACCAACAGCACATCCACACTCACAACCACATCCACACCCCACGCCCACCCACCCGCACACACCCACGCCCACACCATCCCACACTTACCTACCCACACCCACCCACACCCCACATTCACACCCCATACCCACATCCCACACCCACACCCAGACCCACACGCCACACCCTTAAAAAAACTTCTTTGACTGCTTCTTAGGAATCGAATATGTAAAAAATTCATGGATCGGTTCCCTTGCAGGATCTGCATTCTCGAACAAAAATCTTTTCCATCTTTATCTTTTTGTCATGTGAAAATCTGTGTTGGACTTATTACTGAGTAGAGATATGATATATATGTTTTGTTCTGTTTTGGTGTGCAGAGCACACAAATATAGCTCTTATATCATATCTTTACTTAGTAATAAATTTGATAAAAGTATAACAGCATAAAAAGAGAAAAAGAGAAAAGACTCTAGTCCTAGGACGTAAAACGATTTGTTGCATACTTTTTTCGTTCGTAAAAATATTTAGAGGCGAACGATCTTCTGAGTTACACCTAAGACAGCTAATGTTAGTAGAAATATATAATTTTCGTCGTGAGAGCCAGTTACGGATGCACCAATTCCAGAAAATTGGTCGCAAAGATGGTATTTTAGCGATATGTAGAACCACCAATTCCGACCAATTTTTTGTGGTAAACTTGACCGCCTTGAATCGCTCTACCCGTTGCGATTGCTGGATTCCACTAAATACAATCAAATGATGGCAGAATCGGTCGAAATTGGTGAAAAATTTAAGAATTCAAGGTGATCAAGTTTAACACAAAAATTGGTCGGAATTGGTGGTGCTTGGTATTGCAAAAATGACATTTTTCAAGTGAATTTTCTGGAATTGGTGCATCCGTAGAGCCAGTTAAAGGTTGCAACGCATACTATAAACATCAATAAATTAAGGTTTTAAAAAAAACCTCAGAAAACTTCAAATACTCAGTTGTGGGTTTCGGTCTTGTACCGCTCGCTCCAAACATCTGGGTATTTTGAAATACACGTGAACCTAACAGAATCTCAACTGACTTTACGAAAAAAACAATGAACCGATCGTGTGATCGTTTTTTGGAAGAGAAAGACCAACAGAACTGAACTCGAACAAATAATAGATGTAAGTAGTTGCCGGTTATGGTCTATATAGGAGCCCTTTTCTTTCAAGCACGAATATTTTTCAAGTAAAGTTTTACTACAGTTCTAAGGTGCTTCTACTGCTCGTCAACTGAATACCAAGAGCTAAATGATATGCAAGGAAGATGATAAAAATTTCCAGATAATTGCTACGTTTTCGTTGTCGTTGGTGAAAAGGAAATACTTTCGGTGGAAGAGCGGTACTAGATCAATTCGTCGCAAGTCAATTTGTCGCATCCAATTCGTCGCAATCAATTCGTCGCACAATCAATTTGTCGCACGTCAATTTGTCGCAATCTATTCGTCGCATCTCTCATTATAAATTTCCCGTATCAGAGTTTGATCTTGCGGGAAAATGATACATAGACAGAAATGAAATAACGTATTCAGAGAATAGAAAATAACAACATCTTGTAATTTCATCAAACTACAGAAAAAAAACCGATGTTTTTGTTCGTTTTTCGACGAAATTTTAAATAGGGCGTATGTATTCCACCTGTCTCCAACCAGTAGTGTCAAACTTGAAACTTGAGTTCAATTGAGTTTTCAAGTTTCAAGTCTCAACTTTCAATCTAATTTCAGATGACTTTTCCGGCCAGTCCTTTCGTGGCACCCACAGCCGCTGCAATGTGATGTGCGCATAGTGTGGCCACTTCTTTCCCGATCAGTCCCTTCGCGGTCAGTCCTTTTGCGGCCAGTCCTTTCGCGGCACCCACAGAAGGTGCGATGTGATGTGTGTCGTAGTGTGGCCAATCCTTTCGCGGTACCCACAGTAGGTGCGATGTG